GCAGTTAGCTCTTTAAAAAAAAAAGGGATCACAGGACAGTCTGTAGATACCAAAAAAATTCCTGTGTAAATCATTTCTGGAGAACATTCCATTTCCAGAATTAAAGCATACTCAGTAATTCCAGTGTCACCACGCTCAGCATATCTGAAGAGCATTTGCTTTCCCACGTTTTGTGCTGTCATTAATTTTAGTGTCACATCTACTTATTTCTTTCATGACTTAATCTAACAGGTGAAGAGCGATCATTGCCTTCCTTAGTGTCATATTTGATTCGAATAGCCACCTCGCCTTAATTAGAGAAAGTTTTTTTTTCCAAAAATTGGCATCAATTATGATGCACTGGCTTTCACTAGCAGAACATATCCTTTGTAATACTATGAACAATATATGTCCTCTAATTCCTTAGGAAGAATTTGGGCCTACTTTCTAAACCTATCTTGTTCAAACACAACATTAAGAGAGAACAGAAAACCAACTGTTGAGAACCTCATAACACAATAAAACCCTGTTACCTTGCTTCCCAAATAAACATTGCAAATAGTCTGTGACCATTCAGAGCCAGTGAATAGTATGATACAGAATTCTTTCATTTCACCCAGGAATGCTCGTATCAAAGCTAAAACCTAGTCTCTTGTTTTATGGAATTGTATGGCAGCTGAGGATACAGGGGATGGTGCAACGCTGTAAATTGCTTTGTTCAAGTTACTGGAGATGAGTCTGTGCAAATGATACTTTTATTGCAACTCGTGGCTATTTTATGCAGTGGCCAATATGGAACACAAATACTGTATTTTCTCAAACAGCAAAGTCTATGTTATCTTCCATAATAGCATCACCGTCTACTGTAGTGCTTCATACTGTAATGAGCCACTAGGGGGAGCTACAAGGTCATTTTATTCCAGACACTTTAAGAGACAGACATTCTGATTAAATAACGAATTAATAAAAAGTAACTCTGGGAATAAGGTTGTAAGTTCCCCACCCCTGACTTGAAGAGCTCAATGATGGAGTTTCCTCTGTGAAAGCTTCTAATTAGAATAAAGCTAGTCACTTGCTGACCTTTAACAGCACATGAATTGATTTATTTTGGAGGAAATCTGCCTGAGGTCTTTATAATGGCTAGAACCTACTGGTACCAACTACAGTAATTATTGGAATAGCCACTAGATGGTGCTTAATCTTTAGCCATAAATGCACTATCTAGCTGTGGTACTTAAGTGACATACAACAGTTGAAGGGAGCATTAAACAACAACGTTCCAACAGTCTCACTTGTTCCCCGGGCATGTTGGGCTGTGTGGCTTGTTGCTTTAATCTTCTCCCTTCCTTCTTTCTCTCTACTCCTTCCCCTCTGCAATCCTATATGCCAATTCCTGGCAAACTGGCCCTGTATATTTCACATTAGGGTATAGAACAATCACACCCAGTGAGAGAGGGTGTTCAGAATGCTCAGGACTCGATTGTACTGTGTTAGCTGGGTCACAGTGTCTCCAACTCCTACACTGTGTCAGTCAACATACATAAAGCAGCTGCAGCAGAATCATAAAATACAATAAGAGAGTGAACTGTGAATAACAGAAAATCAAATGTTCGCTTGTCCCCACGTAGTTAGGTGGAATCCATGACCACCCCAATCCTATTAACCCTGTCAGTTTTAGCTGGAAATCTGCTATTCAGCTTCTGCAGTCTAACCCGATCATTCAAACTCCAACCTCTTCTGAGTAGGTGACTTTTTATTAGACATAAACTTTGGGAATTTTTTGATTTGGCACAATTACCAATTTGATATTTAAACAACAGGGAAGCAAGAACCTCCAGCCCTGCTGCTACAAACACTAAACCGCCCTTTCTTTCAGGAATGATCACGGTTCAACAGTTCAAGGGCTTAGGAATACATTGCCGACACTGTTCATTTCTCATTTTTTTCCCTTGTGGCAGGAGAGAAAATGCCCCACTGGCAGAGGTGAAAGTAAGACGGTATGCCCCGGTACCGGCAAGAGCCGGTTTGCAGTACCGGGGCGGCCCGGCTTCCCCAGGGGGCAATTTAAAGGGCCTGGGGTTCCCAGCAGGGGCTGGAGCCCCAGGCCCTTTAAATTGCCACCAGAGCCCCACTGCTGGAGCCCTTGGGTAGGGCTGCGGGGTTCTGGGGGCTATTTAAAAAGTCCGGGGCTTCAGCTGCTTCTACTGCCCTGGGCCCTTTAAATAGCCGCCGGAGACCCACCGCCGCTACCCCAGGGCTCCGGGGGCTATTTAAAGGGCCGGGGTGGTAGAAGCAGAGGAGCCCCGGGTCCTTTAAATAGCCCTCGGAGCACCAGGCTGCTGCTGCCCCGGTGGGGGCGGGGCACTTACCTTACAGGGTGGGCTGGGGCTGGCTCTGACTTCCTCAGCCACGCCCCTTCTGCCCTAGGCCACGCCCCTTCCAGGGGCCAGAGCTGGCCCCAGCGTACCGGTAAGTCACTGGACTTACTTTCACCCCTGCCCACTGGGCTCTTTTTCTACCCGTCTGGACCCTCCTGACGGTTAAGATAAAATCAAATGATACTTTGGGCCCAGGGAATCAGACATGGAGAGCGGGGGACACTGGGACAGATTCACAGACCTGCAGATTGGAATCTTGCACTAGTTGGAGCTGCTCTTTGATAACATGGAGCTCTTCTTGCTGTGTCTTGATGTCAGCTTGCAGTATGCGCGTCCTCTCCTCCAGCTGTTCTTTTAGTTGATGCATCATCCCTAACTGGGCTGGGAAGTGGTACACTGGCTGTGGAGAACAGAAAACACCTCACAGTTAGCCCCTAGCTGGATGAAGTAATATTGCTGCTGACTGCAGAAAAGCGAATGCATTCCTGCAGGACAGACGGTGTCTCAAAATATGGGGAGCTGCCCCCCTGGAAAAGATGACTATATTGAAAAATTACACATTGGACACTTGCAAGTCGATGCACCACTGCGTTACTAGAATCTCACGCCGGTGTACCACCGCCGAGCATAGCTGTGGAGTCACCCAGTGGTGAATCAGATTTTGGTTCTCTTTCTATACTTGTACTGGAAAGGTCAGGTGAATGAGGAAGCTGTCTACTCTTCCTATCAAACCTTGCAGCCCTAGTGACGTTTGATTGGTTATCATTACTTTGTTCCATTTCTTCCTTGCAAAAGAGAATGGCTAAATGGCAGGAGCTTGTGATGAGCCTTACGATGGAAGGCACTTGACTCTAAAAATGATTCTGAATGGGCTACAGGCCCGATGCAGCTCCCGGAAAAGTCAGTGGAAAACCTGAGCCCAAAGTAAGAGCTCAGTCATGAGTCACCTTATACACGTGTAAGGAGTAAGGGGCTGTGAGGTGCCCCCTGACGCCCCGTGCAGCTACCCACATCAGCAGGCTGGGTGCAGGGTCAAGAGCTAATGAGCCGTTCCTCCCTCTAGAGCAGTGGTTCTCAAACTAGGGCCGCCGCTTGTTCAGGGAAAGCTCCTGGTGGGCCGGGCTGGTTTGTTTACCTGCCACGTCCGCAGGCCCGGCCGATCGCAGCTCCCACTGGCCATGGTTCGTTGCTCTAGGTCAATGGGGGCTGCGGGAAGGGCGGCCAGTACGGTCCTCGGCCCGCACCGCTTCCCGGAGCTCCCATTGGCCTGGAGCAGCAAACTGCAGCCAATGGGAGCAGCGATCGGCCGAACCTGCAGACGCTGCAGGTACACAAACCAGCTCGGCCCACCAGGAGCTTTCCCTGAACAAGCGGCGGCCCAACTTTGAGAACCACTGGTCTAGAGCAAAGGTGGAAACAGGGATTGTGACTTTCTGAGCCACAGTTTGGTCCCTGGGCTGCTCCTGGCGCAGTGCAAGTACACAATGCCCCTTACTCAGGGGAATGCCTGAGTATGCTTCTCTGATGGGCCGCTCGACGGCACAGACCCAGTTAAAATAACCTGGGAGAACGCTGTTGCTGGAACCAGAAGAAAGGTCTCCAGCTCTCAAAACTGGTGCATCCAGCAATGAGGAAACGCGCTGCTAACTGAAGCCGTAGCTGAGTCTCTTGGGCAATGATTTCAGACCTCTCCTTATGCTACAATAATGTTACAATCTGCTGGCCACACAAGGGCTAACGTGATCTTAACAAAACCAAACCACGTACCATCACAGCTTGCTGCGAGGGGATTGTTGGCTGGGCCACATGGTGCTGAGTGAGATGTTCAGCGGATGCCTGAGGAGTTACTATTGCCTGGGGAAGAGAACAACGGTTTGGTTTAGACCACAGTGCACCTGACGTGAGGGCCAAGAGAGTTACAGAGTGCCAGATCTACTCCAGAAGCAAATGTGTTACCCCAAGGGGCTCCCGCTCTCCAAGCATCAGCGCTGGCCAGATACAAGGGAAGACATTCTCACGTGGCCTGTGGACACGCCCATTCTACCTTGCTGAATTCCTCGCATTTCCGAGACCTTTTACTTCCTTAGTGTGCCACACGTTTACCATCGGAGAGACGGCTCCCCGTGGGGCTGGAATAAGTGACCGACTGGCAGTTTTACCAATTGAAACAGGTGCCGACCATTCCCTTGGGGACAGAGCAAGCCCTTGGTAACTCCACTGGAGGCAGAACAGCTGGAAGGATGAATCTGGCCTCTTCCACTTACCGCCGCTAATTGCAAATCTTTATCTGAAAACTCCCTTTCTGGATGAAATCCTCTTCACCCACACAAACCCTGAGAAAACTGGGCTTTGCCTGGGTCTGGGCAAGCAAAAGTCAACCCCAGGCACCACGAGGCCTGCAGTGCCCCCTCCTCCGGGTACTCAGCCAGTCTATGGCCTGGGATAGCAGGCACCTTTCCCCCACCACACTGGCCTGGGGTACTGTAGCTACCTGAGCAACACAAGCACGGATGCTGTTGTCTATATGGATCTGTAGTGCAGACTGCTCTGCCGTGCAACACAACCCCGTGTTGCTGCTCTGCTGTGGGTCATCTCAAGCCCTGTGCGTGGGCTGTGCACTAGCCCACCTTAACAGGGAGAAGCTTCTTATTAGATTCATAAGGCCAGAAGGAAGCACCAGACCAGCTAGTTGGACCTCCTGTGTATCACAGGCCACCAACACCTGCCCCCCCACCAACACCCGCACGCGAAACCCACCACCGCTGAAATCACTGTTTCCCCCTTGCAGTGCTAAGTGCACGCTAGAAAGGCCGTCGCTTGCGGGGTTATCTACCTGTGCGCTCCCGCTCGAGGCCAGCCTCAGAGACACCTTCTCCTGCTGACCCATCGGGACTGATTGCCTGGTGGGAGTGCTGGCCTCTGTGTGCCGCATGGATGATGTGGCTGCAAAAGAGAAGTTCCTTTTAGATGAAGTAACGGCATGAGGCCATCAGACGTGCTCTCCTATTCTAACGGAACCAGAAGGAGTGGAGGCGTGGCAGGCCCAGCTGCTACCCAGCGCCCCAAGACACTGCTGGACCTCACAAAAATATCTGCTCTAACAATTGCCTAAACGTGGCAAAGAAAGCAAGAGGCTAGCAATCAATGACCATGCATAGTCCATGAGTCGCACCAAGCTGAACTGCTGCCCAGACCTGCTTACCGATCGTCTCCCCTGCTCCTTCTAGGCAGGGGGGGGGGCGTTTTTGATGATAATGCCTCATTTCAACATTCTCTCCGTGGTGTTTCTCCAGAGGAGCCACACCACATGAGCCCTACAGAGCTACACAAGCTTCCCCACATGAGCACGAAGCCAGACCATCTCTGCACTGAAACTCACTCTGAATATGCCACTGCACGAATAGGGCCCCCAGGCTTGCTTTCAATACCGCAGTGCATTATATGCATGTAACATCCCTGTGAGTCCTCGTCCTTAGCCCAAATGTGACAAGGTGAGATCCCACGTCGCTCTTCATGTCAGGAGGCCAGTCTCCCAGATCTTCCTGGGCACTGATTCTCCTCCATTCAGGAAGTGAGGGGCAAGCTCTTAAATGTCTGACCAGGTTAGATTTTCACATGCGGCCTCTGCAGTAATTAGCCCTCAAACTAAGGCAGTAATGATGAGCTGAGCAGACAGACAGGCAGTTTCTACTGAAATGGATAAAGCGGAGGCATTTTTTAAGGGCATTCACAGAAATGTCACATTAAATTCCAGTATCTTGCTGCTTCAGCTATGACTATCTAGTGTGATTCTCAGCAGGAAGGCTAGAACGTTACACATTCCCCCCCTAAACTTTCCCCCGTTGTCACCCGTGGGGCAGCAGAAGCAGCGGGGGTGCTAAGTGCAGACAGCTGCCGGGGTTTTAACCAGTGTGAATTACACCTGCCCTGAGCAGGGAGTAAACGACACAGCTGATAAAATGCCAGCACTGGTCTACCACCCTCGAGCGCCCGCAGTTGCTAAAGTGCCCAGTGGAACTGCACCAGTGGGGAATTTTAGGGGAAAATGTCTAGTGTAGACACATCGTAGGCTGGTCCCTCCTGCCCCCTCTGCTCATTTAATAATCATCTCCTTCTCTGACCCAGCCACGCCTTCTCCTCACACAACCTTCCCCTATCTCTGCACTCACTGGCTCTCGCCCCATTCCCAATCACAGCCCAAACCCCACCTGCCTGGCTGCATGGATGACGTATATTTCCAACGCACCTGCCGCTGCAGTATCTAGGCGTCTTCGCAGGGGAAAGGAGGATCACCGAGAAGGCAAAAACTCTCTGCCTCCTCCCTCGATTAACCCCTCTCACAAGCACTGGGCTCTTGGGCTTTGTCGTCACAGCTTAAAAAAGGCGGTTTTACAGCGAGATGACCAAAGCGTGTTAGCTAACCTGCTGTAAAATCCCACCGGAGACAAGGCTCTGAACCTCTGTGAGGGAGTGAGGCAAGGCCCGTGCTAAACTCCCGCCCAGGGCTGGCCTCGCCTAATTTACTGTGCGGTAAAACTGCAGATGCCTTGTCTGCGTTCTGCTTTCACAGCCGGGTGACTAATGCGCGGTAGTTGTCGTATGGTAAAAACACACCGTTTCTTTGTCAGGGAAGACACAGCCTTGGTGGCTACCTTCACTAACCCTGGCAGCTTCGCTGTGGTACAGTTGCTGGGAAAGGCCGGTGCATTCAGAGGCCAGGCATGGTCCCATCCTGGTGCCCAGGGAACCCCAAAGATGTCAAAGGGGGCTACTCTGGGTTCAGACGGCTGTGACAGATATAAACTAGCCAACCGGCAGACTGTCCCCTCACACGGTTTTTTAGGTCTCTCGATAGAGTTCAAAACTTCCAACAGAGATTTGAGGTGTAGGGATTTTTGAAGCGGCCAATACGTTAGTACGGCCCCTCGCCTTTGCTGGGCTCTGTCGATGCTGACTAGGATACGTACATGCTGAGTCGGAGAGTGCGGTGTGTGAAGATCGCCGGGAGCTAGGCGAGGATACAGACACTCGGTCCCTGCTGGTTTCTTGGTTGTTTCCACATTGCCTGATGTCTAGGTAACTATTGTGACTCTGCAGTGAATAAAACATAGACAGCAACATCCTTAGCAGCACAAAAGCAACATCTGCTTGAACCCCCTTGAATCTTGATTGTGGCTCTTTCTCAGACAAAAACGGCGTTTGGTTCTTAAAGGGCCACAGCTGCCGCTCCAGTATTAATTTGGGTGATTGGAAACAACCAGCGGCTTGCCCTCCTGCATTACAGTGTGCTGCCCTCTTGTTCCCATCGCTGCTGATTGCCAATAGATTGGTGTCTAAATAGAAGTGCGCTTTTAGAATTAGCTGCCTTCCGCCCAATTTCTCCAGGGATGTCCCAGCTCATTGGCTCTGACATGCTGGGCGGTGACTGAGGAATGAGCGAGTGTCTGTGGCAGGAGGAACTGGCTGGCTGGAAAAGGGAAAGATTTCATTTGTTGCAGACGTGGGGGGAGGGGGCCGGGAGGAGACACAGACCAATTTGGGGGGATATCGGCCGCAGCTTGACTAGCTTGTATAACCAATGCCAGATGGCGAGTGTCTGTTTAAGCTGAGATCCCTGCTCTCCTTACCCACATGAGTAGTCACACTGACTCCAATGGAGCTACTCTAGCGAGTAAGGGGTCTGGCAAAATATTTGGAGAGGGGACTGGCCTAATCCCCGCCCTCTAAACAATCACGACAGGAGCCCGCGGTCTTACACCAACAGGGCACTAACAGGCCACCCAGCTGACTGTTTATGTCCACTGAGGGCAAAACAGCCCTTCTCTCATGCAACAGGACGGCCAAGCCAGTCACGTTCCCCACACTGTTTGCCAGCCTTCCACCCCCATCCAGGTAGCTAATCATGCTAACCTCTCACCCCTCCTCCTCATTCTCTCCCTCCAATGGGAGAGACAGAGCTGCTGGTCCTTTTTTCATCCCTCCTGCCGCTCGAGGCCGGCCAGGTTCAGTTCAAGGTCTGGGTAATAATGTCCTGGCAATCAACAGGGATGGGAAAGAAAATGCAGGAAAGCAGTGCCCCGGCAGGTCAGTGACAGCTGTTTGCTAGAATGAGTGTTTGCTTGAATGCAACACAAGCTCTTTAAGACAGTAAACTATCCAAAATACAGCATGGACTGGAACAAATCTAAATCACAGACACACACATACTCAGCAATCAGATTCACTGTGCCCAAGCTGTCTGCCATGTAAAGACCACAGTGTAGTAAAGAGTTATTATTATATAACCAGCCCCCCTACACCTCCCTGGAAATGGCTTTTCTAAAGTAATGTCTGAAGAGCTATAAAGCCAGCGGATTGATAACCTCAAATGATTACCCAACGAGCCACCTGCAATTACTCTGCAAGGTCTTGTTTTGAAGCTATTCGGTGGATATACTTAAACGAAACGGACATGACCCTGTTAACTGAGTGACAATGCCCGATTGATCCAAACAATGGAAATTATTGCTATGATCATAGCTCTGCCCTCCCTCTGTATCCAGCCCAACCTTGCAAACATGGCTGAGACCTGGAAAAAAAAACCCAATAAATCATTCTTTTCCCTTCACTTCCTATCTTTGTCTGATTATCCATGGTGAATCAGCATAAAAGCGGCAAACACTGTGGTACTGATCTGTAGTCAGTGTCTCGTATGTCGGTGGTACTGAGCGTTAGTACATCATTTACTATCTAACAAACTTCATTCTGCTCTCTTGTAAAATACCTTCTTTTCTTCTACTGAACTGAGGTGGCTTAAGATATAATTTGGGTAAAGGTCTCAGAGAGAGCGGGAGATCTGACCTAGCGGTATAATAACGATGCAATCATTGAGTTTGCATTGTTATAAACGAGCTATTGTAGTGCAATGCAGTGTTAAAATCCTCCTCAAGGGTTTGAAAGATAAAGAACTAGCCGGTTTGGAGGCTGAAGTGAGTAAAGGGAAACAGGGGAGGCGTAGTCCATATGTTTTTCTAACATTAATGAGTTCCTTTTATTCGTTCCCTTCAGCATGCACTACCTTCAAAGAAGAAGAGGCCAGTTCGATTGATGACTCCTCAAGGCCAAGATCTCTCCTTCTTTCAGCTCGAACCTCTGCATAACTACATAGGGGGAAAAAAAGAGAGATTTAGAACAAAATTCTTATTCCCTATTGGAAGTGAAAAGTAGGCTGTGAAATAAAAACAATGGTTGCTTCCTTAATGATAGCTAAGCTGATATGCAGTTCTCTGAGGACCTCTTATTTTGTACCTGCAGCTTTGTACACACACAATTGTTCGTGGGCAAAAGGGGCAGTATTCTACGGTCTACTTGCGATTTACAGGTGTACATGTACTATTTGCACATGCAAAACTGCGGAGCAGATGCTAGAAGCTGCACATGTAATCTGGGGCACCAACTGAGACGCTGATTTCTAGATTCCAGCCCTAATGTCTTCAAGCAAAACGATGCTCAAAGCAAAGCTCTGTAAATATGTTCCTTTGTGAACAGCAGGGAAAAAGAGCATCTTCATCCTTACTACAATTACCTTCACAGAGGAACTCCCCATTCTCCACGGCCTGTCAGAGAAACAGTCCTGATGCAGGTAAGTGACAGTAGGAGGTACACACAGCTTCCAGCCTGTAGCCAATTTCTTGTGTGCCTTAATAACAGTGGTACAGTAGCTCAATGGGACTCAAACTGTGCTCCGGGGAGCTTCACCTGAGGAAGGCCTGCATGGCTGTGACCCCTGTTTTTGTAACTGAACAGTGTCACACTTGCGCGGGAACCTTCCTCTCAGTCACGGGGTGGCACATTTTCAAAGCATGCAGCCAGCATCACGTATCACCACAGATGGGAATACAAATCTACCTACTGACTTCAGTGGAAGCTGGACATGTGGAATGATGGCAAACGATGAGCCAAATTTAAAGCCCATTGAGATCCCTGGAGAATGTGCCTCAGAATCTAAGCTCTCTTGCAACTCTTACTAACTGCCTTTTAAATAATAAAACATTAATGATTTATTTGACCTGAGATTTAACTATGAGAGTTCTTAAAATCCAGGCGATATTTCCGAGACTCTCCAGTACGTATATAGAGTGTGGTCAAGGGTACAGTGTTAGAACTAAGGTTGAGGTAAGCACCAGACCCTAAGGTAGGGTTAATGGGCACAGATCCATTAAGAAGTCAATTGGGAGTTGCCCATTTACACCGCTTCAGAATCTGGCCTCTTAGCCGCAAATGTCCTTTATTTCATCTTTCAAATCCAAGGTTCTATTCATTTTTCTATTTTACTAAGTAAAATGTATGTTCAACCTGAATTATTTGATGGGTGTCTAGGACTTTATTTAGGATGTGCATGTACCAGAGGCAGAGACAGAAATATATGCGCACACTCCATAAGGTCGGAACCTTAGGTGACAGAAAGATCTAAAAATTCCCCAAAACAAGGCAGAATCAACAAGCCTCAAGATATGTAAGTACCATCATGAATGCATTCAAATTAAAACAGCTCTCAGTGTGTGGTTTATACTAGCATATATAATTCTACCCACATATACCTACTTATTAGGATACGATGCTCTTAAAGTTGTGTTTCAAAATATCTAAACAGAACGACTGGTTACTAATGGGCTTTTCTCCAAATATTTGATAGTCTCAAACAGGGAAGACAGGATAAATTCACATTTTACTAAAATTACTGACCAAACTGGTATGTCACTTTCTTTTTAAAACCCTCCACTAAATCCGTTCTAAGTATACACTCGGTCTTGTTCGAACCGGCAATGGAAATTTACCGCTGACATAGATGGAAGCAGATTCCAACCCAGTAATTGTGTATCACAAACCTCCAAAACTAGAACAAGACTGTACAAGATTCATAGCACATTATTTAATGCTTCGAGTACAATAGAACCACCACTAGGGGGTGTCATGTGCTAAATTTTACAGTTCAGATACGGTAACACAAACAGCTATCTCCAAGTCACTGTGTTCAAAAAGAGCTGTGTTCAAAAAGAAGTGTATGAATACATTGACATCCATACGGCATTCTGGTTATGAGCAGCTTTAAGTTTTTGATGTATCTGTGTCATGGCTAAGGACAAAAGTGGAACGTAATATACTCATCCCAATGTTACTTCCAGGCTTTTTGACTTCGTTGCCAAAAAGTGACTAATGAAAACATTAAAAACAATTTCCAAGTTCTCACCCATAATAATTTTATATAACTATGTATCATCACAGTGAGTCAAATCACACCGCAAATATTTGGCTAACACATAAAAGAATGGAAAAATGGAATGGATGAGGACACTGATTAACAGAAAGGGTTAAGCACATAGTCCTACCTAACTACAAGGTGTGTACAAACAATGAACTCAGGTTTGGAGTTCCACTGGTGGTACGTGATGTAATAGTGCGTTTGCAACCATATCCATTGCTGGCCTTTGGTCAAGAATCTGTAGTAACAGGACTTTCCTTTTCCAAATTGCATCACTGTTAAACAAAAAGAAACAATTTGGTTAATAACCGTTACGTTCTGATTGTAATTGAGATTAGAAGAATAACCCTGTCCCGTCTAACACCGCTAACATTGTTATCAATCCTTCCTCAACATCGCTTACATTTTCAACCAGGTGCTGGGTTTTAATCTGATTTGCGGTTATTAATTTAAAAAGAAAGTGCTCCAATATTTGGGGTTCATTTTTATAAATGGTCATAGCTGGCACAGGTGGAGATTCTGCTTCTTTGCCAGCGAACAGGACCTATAAATGACATCAACCGAACGGTACATTGGCACTTTCTCAGTCTATCTGCACGCATTTCAGACATCGCTGGCTTAAAGTCAGGAAGCTGATAATAGAAGAACCCTGATCTGCTAATTGAAATATCCACAGATTAGACTGTATAGCGGGACCAAGTCTTCCTTTGAGAGCCAGTTGTGTCTAAAGTTAACCACTTACATCTCCTTTTTAAAATATCATTTCACGAGGGTTGTTTAAAAAAATGTAATAAAATGTAATATTAAGGACCAGGCTTTTAAAAGGGCTTCCCAAACTACAGGCACAATTTTGCACCAGCAATTCACTGTGTCTACAACTGAACTCTTTCAGGAGCTGATCCAAACCCCACTGAGCTCAATGGAAAGACTCCCATTGACATTGAAGGGCTTTAGATGAGGCCCACAGAGAAGAATGGATGGTCTTGTGGTTAATGCACTGAATTGGGAGCCAAGGGCTTTGGAGTCACTTCCTAGCTCTGCCACAGATGTCCTGAGTACCTTGGTCAAGTCATTTGATCGTCTGTTCCTCAGATTGCCCACGTGCCAAATGGGGATAACAACATTTCCTGTCCATGCAGGGGTAACAGATAACTTTCTTAGTGCTCGTGAGGTGCTCAGAAAATATCGGGATGGGGAATATAAGTAACTAAGTAGGTAGATTAGATGCCTGAGTACCAGACTCCACCCACAGATCCAGTAGAGTTAGGTATCTAAATAGGCTGAACTGCGGCCCTGCCCCCGCACCACCCGTTCTCCCTGAGGCCCCACCCCTTCTCCCCTGACCTCCCACCCCTTCTCCCCTGACCTCCCACCACTCGTTCCCCACAAGGCCCCCCCCACGCCACCCCTTCCCTGTGAGTTCCCGCCCCTGCGCTGCCTCTTCCCACAAGTCCCTGCCCCTGCACTGCCTCTCCCCACCAAGACCCTGACCCCCCCACTCGCTCCTCTTTGCCCACTCCCTGCCCACCTCTCGCCCTTATGGCTGGTAAAAAGCCCTTGACAGCAAGCACATGGTAATAAAAGGACACTGTCAATTTAAAATCACACTTCTGTCTGAATGAGATTTTTCTACCTACTACTGTTCCAGATAGCACCAAAGATTATTATAGCTGATAATATATAGCTGGACCAAAACAATTTTCTCTATTATTTCAGTTAGTTTCCTTCATGCGTTTGACACAATTTGTGTGTAGTCATTTTCACTGTTTCCTCTGTGTACTCAGCCAAGCACTCAGTCCCCTGTCGTTGGTTTGGGTCTTTTGCACAGCAAGAGGGAAGAAAAAAACTGGATGTAAAAGCACAAGATAAGGCCGGGGGACCGAGAAGCACATGAAGTACCTGAAACTACTTTTAACTGACCATTTGAAACTGACTCGATTCCAAATTCTATAATTGCATCTACAGTCTTGGGTCTATAGTACTGGAAGGTGTCACCCACCCACCCACATATACTATATTACATACACAACCATAGGTGCCGACTCCATGGGCGCTGGAGCACCACAGAAAAAAATGAATGGGTGCTTAGCACTCACTGGCAGCCAGCTTCCCTCACTCCCCAGTGCCTCCTGCCCACCTGCTGCCCCGCTGATCAGCACCTCCCCCTGCCTCCCAGCGCCTACCGCTTGCCCCAATCAGCTGTTTCACAGAGTGCTGGAGGCTCTGGGAGGGAGGGGAAGGAGTGGGGATGGGACACGCTGAAGGGAAGGGATGGAACTGGGCGGGAAAGAGGTGGAGTGGGGGCTGGGCCTGGGGCAGAGCGCGGGCAGGATGGGGGTGGCGGCTTGGGGGAAGGTGTCAGGTGGGGGAAAGGGTCGGGGTGGAGCAGGGGGTTGAGCACCCCCCCAGGCCCAGAGGAAGCCGGCGCCTATGTATACAGCCTTTCATGCTAGAGAAGTCAAAAATGCATCCTTTTGGACACTACAATGTGAGGCTCATGACTGTCATGCACGGATAAGCCCTATGGAAGCTACAAGTGTTGCATATAATGCTCCGTCTTGATGAGAGCAGAAGCAGCTGAGACGGGCAATTGAGCGCTTATGAAGGAACTTAAAACCTGAGTTTTCATCTAAGCTTCTCCAGTGTGCATTCACGTCATGGCTGGCTGTCTCCAATGGGGTAGCTGAACATGCTCCCACCACCTGCACAACCCAGGTAGAGAACAGAGCTGGTTTATAGGGGTTCAGATGCCTATAGGCTTCAGGTTCAGATGAAATGAAAAAAATATGGGGTCATAAAACAATACCAGAGAAGCTTTACAAACCCACACCAGGTAGTAAAACAACCACATTTACTTAATGCCACCTCCCAGCCCCTCCTTAGAGTAGGTTCAAGCTTCAGTGAGATCTGTAGTAACACCAGCATGGTATATTGTAGCAGGAGCAAGCCAGGCATGGTATGGATGGTCCCTGAAGAACTTAAAAGCAAACCACTGGGTAGATAGCAGCAGGTTGAGTGCTCTTCCTAATCTGGCTAATGAGAACATTCAGCACACACTATTACATGTCATGACATGTAACCAATAATAGCAGAGTGAGACATACACGGCAATTTCCTGAAATATCCTGGACAAATCTTACTGAATTCAGTTTATGTATTTTAGGAGTTCATTGCATTAAAAATGCAAACGTTTATGTACTAGTGTGGGATTGCATGGCACATCTCCAGGGAGACATGATTAATGTAAACCCTTGAGCGTCAAAGGACTCTTTTAAACAATGGGCCAGACAAGAAGGAAAGTTTGGGATAAACAAATTTGCGTGGGGTTTCCCAGGAAATATTTGGGAGGAGGGAAGTGCAAATTTCCACCTCTGGACCCAACCCTTTTGAAACTATGCCCTGAGGAGAAACCCATTGTCTATGAATTACTTATTCCCAGATCAAAGACCGAGGCTGGATAAAGGAGTGACTCAGATTCCTGGGTGTTCTTATTCTGAGCAAAAGGTATCATGAATGTGTAACCACAGAAAACCATCTGTGTGGTATTTGAAGGACTGAGCCCCTGTCAGAGCCCTTGGTAGAGTTGGGGTGATCTCTAGTAAGCTTATTAGCATGCGTGTAGGTTCTTTTATTGTTTTTCATGTTTTCGCTGTACTGCTTTTACCTTAAGAATAAATGTGCTTGCTTACAAAGGGCTGTATGGTAACTTTACTGTGGGCAATTATGCTGTTTCCAGCCTCTGAGGAGAAGGCAAAAGAGGCCTGCTTAGGCAGTCGGACTTGGTGGGGAATTCACAAAGCTGTACAACTTGGAAATATCCCAGTCAGGAGGGAGACAGATCCATGTCTCCGCCCATCAGAGGTGAGCGCTGGGGAGCCAGAAGCCTATGTGGGTGCCTTTGCTGGACCACAGAGGGGAAATACAGGTGCAGTTGCCCTGAAGTGTGACACAGGGGCCATGGCAACTCGACTGCGGAGCTCCATTTGATTCTTGTTACCTTATTGCCCCAATAAATGGCATTCACACATGGCACATTCGCATACACACTGGGCCTGATTGTTCCCCAGAGTTATCAGTGCAAGGGAGACTTTCTGGGTTGATCTTCTTGTGCAGAATATGGAGTGGGGAAGCATCTGCCCCTGCCTATTCAGCACCCACCCTCTCCTCCCCAACCCCAGAGAGTCCTCTGTGGGGTCAGAGATCTGAAACTGGGTGGGAATAAGCACCCACGGGGTATCCACCCAGAAGCTGCCCACATCTTGCCAATGAAGCCATATCACCTGGGAGCTGGCTAGTGGTTCCAGAGTTAGTGCAGGCACAGAGCTTCCACCCTGATGACAATGGGCAGCTGCAGATCCCCTGGGATCCACATAATCTGTCAGGGAACCTCAAAACTGTCCCTGCAAAAATCCCAGGAAAACTCCAGGATGAAAGTTCAGGGAGGTTTTACTCCTCCACCCACCCCTCCCGTGGATGTTTCCAAGGGAGACAGCCCTCTGCTGGATAAACTCAGATTCGGCTTTAGCTATTAAGACAGTTTGGCCCTATAGCGATATAGGACTGTGACACACCATTGAGCAGTTCTGATTCTATCCAGCAGAGGGCAGGGGTTACACATACACCCTCGTTAGTTCCTTATTGTACAACTATACCTAGCAGGGGTGGCCAAAGTTACTGACCGTTGGAGCCGCATACAACGATCTTCAGACCTTCGAGAGCCGGGGTGCACCTGCCGGGGCTCAGAGCTTAAGCCCCGCTCCTGCTGAAGCCCTGAGACCCCCCACCCCACTGGGCAGGAGCCAGAGGGGATGCCTGGGGGGAGGGGGGAGAACATGGGATCACACACACCTTGAGATTTTTGCCAGGGGGTTTGCTGGCCCTGCTTGGTCACATGGTGCCACCGGGTCTCCCTCCTGCATGGCAGCTGCTGGAGTAGGCAAGCTGGGAGCTGCGGCCCTGGGGAGAGGCAGCAGCACACAGTGGGGAGCAGCAGCCCCTTCCTGCAGCTCCCAGCCGTTTGCAGCTGCTTCTCCACGGGGAGCTAACACCTGGGAGCTGCAGGGATGGGTTGCTGAAGGGAAGCGTGCCTGGTGGGGCATGACTCAAGCTAGTTTGGGGGGGGGGGGCGACTGTGCTCCTCCCCTCAAGAGGCACCAGTCATATCTGGCAGAAGCCCCTGGCCCCACCACTCTGCTGCAGGGCAGAAGCCCCGAGCTTCCCCCTGCCCCAGTCTGGTAGGTGGAGAAGGGAGGACATGGCGGGGCTCTGGGAGCCAGACTTTAGCAGTAGAAGAGCTGCATGCGACGCACAAGCTGCAGTTTGGCTCCCCCTGCCCTATAGAGTTAGTTCTTTTGCACGTTTTGATAAAACTACCCCTTCCTCTCGGATTGATCTGAGAGACAGACTGACAGACAGATACCACCCGTTTTAGCCAACAGGGAATCTGTACACAATATTTCTTGAGAAACCATCTCAGTATGGTAGAAGCATTTTACAAATAGTAAGTAATTAAGTATCACAACAACTTAATGAGGTGGCACTATTATGCTTATTTTACAGATGGGTAATCTAGGCACAAAGAACTTAATTATAACCTGCTTCAGAACTTAATTATAGCCTGTTTTCCAGAGGTTCTAAGTACGCAAGGTCCCATTGAGGACAATGGGAATGGAGAGTGCCCAGCCGCTGTGACAATCAGCAAAAACCCAAGAATCAAGTTTCAGAGGGGTAGCCGTGTTAGTCTGTATCAGCAAAAAGAACGAGGAGTCCTTGTGGCACCTTAGAGACTAACAAATTGATTTGGGCATAAGCTTTAGTGGGCTAAAACCCACTTCATCGGATGCATGCCAAGAATCAAGGTTGTTTGCACAGCAACACAATAGCAGAGTCAGGAACGGAGGATAAGAGCTCTGGCTCCCAGTTTTGCAGTGTAACTGCATGTTAGGGCGACTGACTTCCAGCACCCAAACACAACAGATATCTGCCTGTTTGGGAAATTCTCACTGATAAAATTTGCCCTGATAAAATAATCATTCCTCTTCCCTAGTTAGGCATGAACTGAGCCATATTTTACAGGAATAGGGAAGAATTTCCCTAATGAACATATACATTTTTGCACAACATTCATAAGCTCATGTTATCAGTTCCCTGCAAGCAACGGGAAAGGAACTTACAGTGTTCATGGCACCTAGCGAGAAGCTCCAGGTCATCAGCGTGGTAATAATCATAACCTGACGTTCCCAGAACCTCAAAGGGTAAATAACCTATAATAGGTGGGGCCCTAGAATAAAAGCAAAGAGAAAGACGTAAATACAAAACCTGATGTGATGACCATTTTGGTAGATCTTTAGCAAACTAAAAACCAAATATCTCCTTGCCAGAAAGCTGGGAGTGATATCGATTTTTTTGTATCAGAGGGAGAAATAAAGACAAGCATGTCAAAACTGAGTAAATGAGGAGGTATCTTTATTGTTTCCTGGCCTATTCATTATGTGGGTGTATGGAAAAGCACGTATGTATGCAAGTGACTCATTCATTAATCATGTTTGTTAGCTTAAGAAATACTATGGATGTTCATGTGCATAATACACTGGAGACTGTGTAAAATTATCCAGTAGGCTGGGTGCAAATGTCATCTGGGGAGGAACTGTAGAAGAAGTAGTAAGGGCTTGTCTACATGAACACGTAGTACATGGCAAACCAGGGCATAAATCTACCCCGCACCAGCCTGCCGCTCATTAACTCTCTGTGTGGATCCTGCTGACGTGCAATCCAAGTCCCATAGTGTGCTTTGATCTACCCTGCTTTGCAATGAGCGTAGATTAAATGCACTAGGGAACTTTTAATGCCCAGTGTCACGAACACTTAGTGCGCAGCAGACTAGCATGGGGTAGATTCACACCCCAGCTTGCCACAATCTAAGTGTTCATGTAGACAAGACCTAAGCAGGACGCTCCGGTGGCTGTAGGGACACGCTTTGGTTAAAGAGAAGTAATCTATTCCCATGGCACAGCTTGGGGAACCGAAACCAGCAAAATGATTTCAGTGCATTCTATAGAATAAAGATTTTCCTTCAGACAGATGTAGAGCTGATTTCCAGGTCTATGATGTCTATGGCAGATGAACAGGGAACGGAGGAAACCAAACTAGGGCCAAGCTTCCAATTCCAAGTCAGCAGTTAGAAATCCAATACTAAATTACAGCTTTTCGAGCTGAAAATGAGAACTTTTTAAAAAGGTGCAATTACAATACTGAAGTGGTAAACAAACCGCACTAGAACAAGGTCATGGTAATACCTGGGAAATAATTATCATCTCACAACACTGCGAGTCGGGACCAAAGATATAATTATTACACCTATTGTACATAAGAACAGGCCTAATTCTGCCCTCGGCTGTGTATGTGCAACTCCCAGTTACTTCAATGGGAACACCGCATCTGCTTTGGAAGGCATAATTTGGCCATATTGTGTTTATTTGGCTTCTTGTCCCTCCCTTTGCTTCACTGTCCATTTGACTTGGCTGCTAGGTGTGATGACACTATGGAGGGCGGCACAGTTTACCTACAGCATTTTCAGTTCACTCCTCTAGAGTAAATGCGGCAATATATTCCCAGCGTAGTTCATGTTTTAAAATTAAACTGCACAGGATCAGGCTGAAGGCATAAAAAGAGAGGCACATTCTCCTCTATGCTTCCTTTGCTTTGGTGTGTCTTAGTACCATTTTGTGGAAGGCCAGTACCACCAGGCAACCATAAAATGTGCTTGAACTATGGGCACGAAATAACAAAATGGATTCAGCTGAGGAAAATGCAAGCTAATCTGCTGGGGGCGGGGAGGTGGAATAATCCAAAACAGAGATTCTGTATTTAAAAGGAGGGAGAATCCTGGGAAACAGTGGACAGCACCAGGGCCGGCTCCAGGCACCAGCGAAGGAAGCAGGTGCCTGGGGCGGCCAATAGAAAGGGGCGGCACTCTGTCCGGTATTGGGGCAGCATGTCTGGGTCTTCGGCGGCACTTCTGCGGTGGGTCCTTCACTCCGTCTCTTCTTCTTCGGCGGCACTTCGGCGGGAGCTCAACTGTTTTTTTTTCTTTCTTTTTTTTCGCTGCTTGGGGCAGCAAAAAAGCTGGAGCCAGCCCTGGACAGCACTCTGTCAATAGGAGTTTGCAGTGCAACAGGACACAAAAAAGGCACGTGTGAATTTGGGTTGTATGCCCAGCATCACAAAACCAGGAGGTAAATCCTCTCTCTGGGCCTGATCCACGCCCACTGAAAGATTCCCATTGACTCTCGTGGCATTGGATTGGGCTCTCTCTGGAGTGAGACATTCTAAGGTCAGATGGGACCTGTATGACCACCTAGTCTGACCTTCTGCAAAACACTGGCCATGGTACAGTCATTTCTGCACCAAACCCAAAACTTCTCTTTGAGCTATAATGTAACTTCTAGAAAAAGATCCAGTCCTGGTCGATATATGATACAGCTCCAGTGCAATATTGCATTCATTTCTGGACACCACATGGTCAAACAGCTTTAGAAAGAGTTCAGAGAACAGAAACAAACCTAACTAAGATTTATGAGACAAGATTACAACCGCTACATAGGTGTAGACTGGCTCAGTGCCGACTAAAAGATGAGGTCGCCAGGTGGGCGCGCAACATGGTAACTGTCTACATCCGAAAGGCAAAAATGTCAAGGAAGGACCCGAATCACTGCTGCTACCAGGGGACTATCAGTAGGAAGTGTACTATAGAACGCAAACCAGTACTGCAAAGGGAACAGCCAGAATAACTTCACAGCTCCTTGTCATCTGATATGGTTCTAAGTTAGAACATTCATGAAGAGATACAAACACTCACATAGATAGCAGAGCAAGCCATACCACAGCACAGCACAGCACAGCTACATTCTTAATGGGTCCAATCCTGTTCACACTGAAATCAATGGCAAACCTCACACTGACCTTCATGACAGCGGGTTGCAGCCCATTATATGGGACACTCCCAAGGCAGAAGTAGAATATGGCGCTAGCTGGGATTTTACTGTTTCGGTTTTTAAAGTTTGGGGTTATTTTTAATATGTTAATGAAATAGATGAAATAATGAAACAGAAAATGAGTAAAGGCCCCCAGTTTTCTCTCAGTTCCTCCCAAGGAATGGTTGCACTGGCACAAGGGAGGATAGATTTGGCCCTAAGAGATAAATAGCATCTGCTGATGAGCCAACACAGCAAACTAAATGCCGCTGCCACCTTTAAGCAATGTTAGAGCTTTCTGATCAGGGGTGAAGTGTAACACTGTGGCTGTCAAGAGTGGGGATTGAACCTGGGATCGCTGGATCTCAATGCATAAGCCTCTACTGCCTGAGCTAAATGCCATCAAACACTAAATTCAGACTAGCCACCACTAGAGGGGGACAGAGTACACCCAGGTGACACAAGTAAACAAATTGGAGATATCCTATCTCCTAGAACCCGAAGGGACCTTGAAAGATCATTGAGTCCAGCCCCCTGCCTTCATTAGTAGGACCAAGTATTGATTTTGCTCCAGATCCCTAAGTGGCCTTCTCAAGGATTGAACTCATAACCCTGGGTTTAGCAGGCCCATGCTCAAACCACTGAGCTATCCCTCCCCCCAGCCAGAGTAGAGCTAGATTCTCCTCCATTTTAGGGACAATTTGCATCCACACCAAGTGGTTCTAAGTACAGCATAGCCAGCCATGGGAGGATCACCCAGGGCTGCAGGGCTGTCACAACTTATACACTCCCTGCACCTGCAAAAGGAGGTTGGCTGGGGTAAAAGAGGGGTGGCCAAGGACCCTTACACCCAGATGCCATAATGGTTTCCTGTGGCCACTGGGAGACAGCACAAGCTCTCATCACGGGTGCTCAGCACTTCTGAAAACCTGCTCCTACATCATTGATTATCTGTGGGAAGCAAATGTCAGCGTTCTCTGATTGTGAGTTCTTTGGGGAAAGTGCCTAGTGGACCCTACCATAATACAAACAGCACGGTCATATTTACCCAAAATATCTTTTACAGAGCACTGGGCTCCTTTTCTTTATCTGACCCAGATTTCTGTTAAATGTGACAGAACCTGTATTTATTAAACTGGCTTTTATTTCTGTCTGTCTATGCAACCAAGCCAATGTCTTTTGGGTCTGTAATAACACACTTATCTTCATGACCATAATGTCTTTCAGATGAATGTCAGGCAAACATTTTAAGCAGCTCGGGAAAGTGCCGTGCTTTCCGATGTGTCATCATCACTTAGAGGAACTGATTCTTTCATTGAGAATGTAACCACAAAATGCTTCTAACCTGGGGTTGGAGAAGGAGCAATCTGAAAGTTTTTAGCTAGCTTAGTCACTGCAATTCCCTGTGCTAAAGGAACTGTTCAAGTTTTCTGATCAGGAGATCCATGACTGCGTGCAGTGTGAAAAGCTAAAGGGACGGACTTCAAGTTATCACCAAAGTGCAGGGACTGCAGGAGATGATACTATAGCAATCCTGTAATTAGAGCAACAAACGATGGAGGAAGGAGTAGAATATGGAACAGAAACAGGCCAATATAAAAGCATCCAGTTTGTTTTTTCCCTTAAATGATGTCTATATGTAGTTTCATGCTCCAGGTGTCTCTAGTTGGTTGATGTTTACGTAGCTCAGTAGAACTGTCCTAACCTGCTTCTGCGCTCCATTGTAGACGCTAGGTCTGAGCGAACGAGGCCCTGATTCTGAGTAGAGCTCAGCACCAGCTACTCCTATGTCCTCAGCACCTTTCAGGATCAGCCCGCAAACGTGGAAAATAATCATTGAGAAATAGCTGAAAACATTCGATGAAAGAATCACGGTGCCCCTACTATTCTATTAAATTGTGCATTGAACCAAGGATTGAATGAGTGAAAGCACACTCCTGGCTCCACGTTCACTGCTTCCATCAGGCACCGCAGTACACTCCAGCTAAACGACTATGTTAGCTTAATTTACGCTCAGGAACAATGGTCTCCTCACAGGGGATATCACCAGGACCGGAGTAGAAAAATACCTCTCTGAGTCACATCCCAATTCATCGCACTTGGATATATTTCAATAAAGCTCTTAGCCGGCTCCTGGTAGCTTTCCTCACAGAAGGTGCTGGGTGGTCATCCCCTTGAGAGCCAGGACACTGCTTTCGATATCTCAATATTGGCATAGCCTAACTTCAGACATCCACTTTTAAAAATTTAGGCTACTGCATATCCTGATTTCAATCCATATAAAGTTACATTAACCAGACCTAGAGAGCATGAGTAACATGCAAACAAAACGGCAGCACAAGTGGTTTCTCATCAGCACCTCAAGACAGGATTTCCAGTGTAGTTATTCTGATAAATATATTCATTTCATTTTCATTTCTTGCAATATCTCCTCTCTCTCTCTCTCTCTCTCTCTGAATGTACAGGGGGGCATTTGGGTTTCTTTAGAAAATAAGCATTCAGCAAAGGAATTTTATTTCTCAGCCTGGTCTTTCCAGCGGTAAGTACATGGCTAGAGTTTGCGCTCTCCGGAGATAGTACTATTGTGCATTACGAAAGAAGGGAACGTGTGTAATACTGTTAGGTATTCATGCGCACACACAAATACGCAAGAGTACAAAGGCTCTATGCTTTTTTTGAAGGACACTTCCCCTTTTATAATTTAAAAAGTTTTACCAAGTGATCTCCAGTCTATTTCACTCCCAAGTAGTATCTTATCTCCATTTAGTCAAAGTAAGTCAATCATTACAACGATCTGTTCTTTGAATTTGTTTCTTTTTTAAAAAAAACCTTTAATTCTATATCAAGATGCAAATCAACAGGGCAAAGAACAGAGTCAGCTTCTCATCTGCTGCCAACTGAAATCAATGGAGTTCTGCCTAGTCACACTAGATGAGGATATGGCCCACATGGTTCTACGTTAATAACTTATTTAGTACCACAATGAGCCTGGACATTTTTATATGTGCTATATTTCCAGCTCACATTAATGGAAGGCGAACACAGATTCTTACTGCCCTTACATATGAAAGAGAGCAAAGCTTTTAAGGAGGCGTGAAGTGTAGGCTTTGATCAGTGTCACCTTAGTGTTCTAATTTCATGTGAAATATTCTGCTTGGGGGCTCAGACACATTTAATGGACAGTTTTCCTTTTCTAAACCATGGTTTGTGTCAGGGCCGGCATTACTGTTTTTGCCGCCCCAAGCAGCGCGCCGAATTGCCGCTGCGGACGGCGGGGGCAGTCCATGTGCCGTTAGGGCGGCACGCACGTTTCCGCAGTGGTGGCAATTCGGCGGCAGCTTCTGTCTTCAGCCGGAAGACAGAAGCCGCCGAATTGTCGCCGCGGGCAGCTGAACACACGGACTGCCGCCCCTTGCAGAGTGCCGCCCCAAGTGCTGCTTGGAATGCTGGTGCCTGGAGCCGGCCCTGGTTTGTGTATTCTTGAATCACCACATGTTGTATTTATATCTGAAAAACAACCCTCTCACCTGTGGTCCAAGAATAAAAACTTCCACTCCAAACTGTGTCTCGATGTGAATTCTTCACATGGCTCTTCAATGTTGCACAGCTCCTGCAGAACAGTGGGTGCATTTTAGTATTTAACTCTAAGGAAAATGGCTTGTGTGACAAACCAGCTTGATAACACGTACAAGGACTCTTTGGAGAATAAACTGACGTATTCTTCCGCCGACCTAGTGGTGTCAACTCCAGGGCTTCAGTCAGTCTAGCTACGTCACTCAGTGCATTTTTCACACCCCGAGTGACACAGCCAGGTCAACCTAACATTGCAGCGTATACCAGCCTTTAGATGAGAGTTCTCTGAGTACAGACGTCAATGTCAAGGTCTAGCACAGTGTTTCTCAAACTGGGGTCGCCGCTTGTTCAGGGAAAGCCCCTGGCGGGCCGGGCCGGTTTGTTTACCTACCGCGTCTGCAGGTCCGGATGCTCACAGCTCCCAGTGGCCGCGGTTCGCTGCTCCAGGCCAATGGGAGCTGCTGGAAGCGGCGGCCAGTATGTCCCTCGGCCCCCGCCACTTCCCGCAGCTCCAATTGGCCTGGAGCAGCGAACCGCGGCCACTGGGAGCTGTGATTTGCCGAACCTGTGGACGGGGCAGGTAAACAAACCGGCCCGGCCTGCCAGGGGCTTTCCCTACACAAGTGGTGACCCCAGTTTGAGAAACACTGGTCTAGCAGATTGTAAGCTCCTTGGGGCAGGGACCGTCTGCTTGTTCTGTGTTTGACAGCACCTTGAACAATGGGGTCCTGATTCACAACTAGGACTCCTAAGTGCTATTTTAATACAAATAAACAAATAATAATGAACCAATGGTGCAGGTTATTTCTTTGCTAATTAACACTCTGGCAGTGAATGGACCACAACTGAATTTTATTATCATTATTATGCACATAGTTCTCTTCTGTGGATAAACAGCAGGTTATAAAAGTCTGGTTCCCATGGTCAGAAAAGAGCAGGCAGCATTCTTACACGGTCAGTGAGTTTGGCAAGTTTCTTTCTGAGATGCAGCTTTTCCAGGGCTTCAGCTGGAAACCATGTTTCCTCGTAACTTCTTGAACATACGGCTCAAGGAGGCCCCTCTCTTGCTATCATCAATGGTTCTTCTCAAATGCAGCTCCGCACTTGCTGGGCAATGCAATCAATAATGCTCAGAGAGCCTGTTGTGTTCTCCGCTATTCTTAAGCAAACTTTAGATGCTAACTCCCATCCCAAAATGAAACAGCACCATCACTCATCCACAGGTCCTCCGCTCTGAAGGGTTCACTGCCCAGCTCTCAAAGTGCAGGATTTAAGGCCCTTTTGCAAGGTTTCTCCTTTAGGAATGACCAGACTTGAATATCCATTAACTCTGCTTGTGGTGAAAAGCATCATTTTTTAAAACCGACTATAGATCTCTGGTGTAAAAAGGGAAACACGACCCGAGGGCTCTCACCTTTAAAAACTGCGGCGTAACAAGACGAACAGTTGCGACAAGGCAAATCTGCTCTTCTGTGGCTGACCTGAATGCTCTTGCAATAGCGGATTCAAAGCCATTGCAGGAGGGTGTAGGCACTAGAGAAACACATCAAAACACAAGCCAATCAGCATTTCAAGAAGAAAATGTTAAGGCAGATACAGTAACCAACAAATCTGAACAATTAGCTCCTTCTACGCTCAGAGCCAATCAGAGACATGCCCCCCTAAAACTTGTTCAAATGATGCTCATTTAAGACTTATTTGGTGGATTCTTTGTCTATATCTAGACTCTCTTGGCTCAATCATGGGAAAGGTTACACAGATGCAACTACTAATCCTCGGCTTTGCAGAAAACCTGTTTGTAACAGCTTCAGCTCAACTGAAGTGTATGAACCTAAGCCTGCCAGCTGGAAGCACCTTAAGGAGGCAAGAAACACTGAAAGGTTCATTAAAACAACGACAGTGAAATACAGCTGCTGGTTTCTTGTTTGTTCCTTTCGTTGCGTTTTGTTTATGCTTTTTCAACTATCGACCTTAGGTGGAAAATCTCTTTAGCAGTCCTACTAAGGAAAAAGATCTTTGGTCATTGTAGATCTCAGCTCGAATTACCACGACAGACCAAAACAGCAGAAAACATGAATCTTTGTTTACTTGCAAACAATTCACTAGCGGATTAGCCAAATTCTCTTCTCCTAGCTGCACCGCATGTATGATATTGATCCAGAGGGTCATATTCTGCATTTGTTCCATGCAGAAAAACCACGTGGACATGTGTGGAAGTTCACTGCCAGGAATGGATGCAGACTATGCAATGGAGACATGCAGCGTGGCTTAGTGAGGAGAATTTTGCCCTCATGCTCGTAATTAGAAATACTGCATGCGGCCCAGCCCTAGGGAGAGTGGTAAACCAAACAGCACTTGCTTTCCTGAACTGCCTATCATGGGAAAGATGGTGAACAAAACTTCTCATACGTATTATGCAATCATTGCCAGTGCAAACACACACATAACACCATTCATTAAATTCAGCATAGAAACCCTGTATCTCTAAATGATTGACAGGAGGGGTTGTTTCAAGGTTGTTGATGGAGAGTGGTTCATAATAGGGGTCCTTTTGGAATCTGGCAGCAAGAACCGAACACGCTATGACAGGCTTTCAAAAAGTATGACTGCTATTAAAATTACCAGGTGAAGAACAGAAGGGAAGTGGGAGAAAAAAAGAATGACTGATGCCATTTCTGAACCCTGAACATTTTTCCGAGTATACGTACTGCAGCTTGTACTGTATGTTAGAATTAGAGCCAGGCAGAACATTTTCATGTGGGCATTTTCAACATTAAATTCAGAAAATGTTCGCTCTCTTTCTCTCTCTCTCTCCTTTCTCTTCATTTTATTTTATTTCCAAGAAATGGCCATTTTTGCATCCACCATGCTGGAAAATTCAAGATTTTGCAGACTTCCTATACAAACTGAGGGTAACAAATAACATTTCCAAGTGTCATTTTGAGCGAACCGGAGCATTTTATGTTGTTTTTGAATGAACTGGACTGTTTTCAAAAATGTGTAGCACCGCAAGGCCAAATGTAGCGTCTGAACTATTTGATAGTGTCTCTTTGAAATCAACTAAAACAATCAGAGGATTCCACCGCCACCCTTCCAGCCAATGACCACCCCAGCTCTGTCACCTGAAAAACGACTCTTCCCACATCGGGAGCACAGTCCATTCTGTTGCCTATATGGCATTTTAAAGTGCAACAAGGCATTTAAGGTGGCTCTGGTCAAAGACAGAGGGTAAGTGAGAGAGGCAGAAAGACAGCGTGGACTGAAGCAATAACTTACCATGAGTAAAATATTTAAAATCCACTACAAATTTCACATATTCATATGTTAGGGGCTCATTTGGATCTAAGCTTCCTCTTGCTAAATGGCAGCAAAACTCTATTTGCTTTTCAGCTGAAACGAGAGAGAAAAGAACATTTTTACTAGTCCCTAGGTTTGCACTTTCACACACTCCATCTATCTAATCTAGCTAGGTTTTTATACAGACCCCGTCACTGTGGTATCTGTGCACATTCTGTTGGGATGTTCCAGATATCCCAAAGTAAATAAACAGCAACTACAGAAACATATATCTGCTAGGCTAAGAAAAAGTACCCCCCACCCTAGTCTCTACAGCCTCCTATTTATATTGCTGTACTAGGGCTGAAAGTCTGGGCCCACGGAAATCAAAGTGACTTTTGCTATTGACATCAGTGGGGCCAGGATTGCACTCAAGGTCCCGTAGGGCTTGTCTATACAGTGTGGCAGGGTACGCACTCCACACTAATTGATCCATGACCCTGCTGGTGCCCACTAAAAGTTTCCTAGTGCCCTTTAACGTACAACCGCTTTCAAACAGCACCCCGTTAAAGGGCACTAGGGAACTTTTAGTGCACACAAGCAGGGGCTACACAGACCAATTAGCACACAAGCCATTCATGCGCTTTAGAAATCACTCCCCTCCCTGTAGGCACACTGGCGCACCAGGTACACAAGCCCCAGTGAAGCTGGCTGAAAGCACTGGGAATCTTTCTATTGATTTGAAAGGGCTTTTGATCAGGTTCTAATACAAACAGGGCCAGCTCTAGGCACCAGCAAAACAAGCAGGTGCTTGGGGCAGCACATTTCTAGGGGCGGCATTCTGGCGCCGGCCATCCTAGGCACCGACTCCGTGGCATGGAGAAAAAGTGCCCCCGCCGCCCCAGCTCGCCTGCGCTCCGCCTCCACCTGCTCCCCTGAGCGTGCCGCCGCCGCTCCACTTCTCCCCCCCTCCCTCCCAGGCTTGCCAGGTGCAAAACAGCAGTTTCGCGCAGCAAGGCTGGGAGGGAGGAGAAGCCGAGCGGCGGGGCGCTCAGGGGAGGCGGCAGTGGTGGTGTGGAGGTGAGCTGGAGCAGGGGAGCGGTTCCTCTACTCCCAGTTACTTCTTGTGCCCCTCCGGTTACTTCCTGTGCTCCCCCACCCTAGCTCACCTCCGCTCCGCCTGCTCCCCTGAACGCGCCACTGCTCTGCTTCTCCCTGATCCCTCACCTGAGAGGGAGGGAGGAGAAGCGGAGCGGCGGCGCTCCCGGGGGAGCAGGCGGAGCGGAGGTGAGCTAGGGCGGGAGGTCGCAGGAGGGGCCGCAGGAAGCAATGCGTGGGGGAAATGCGGCACCCCCGGGGGAGGAGGCGGGGCGGAGGAGGCAGGGATTTGAGGAAGGGGTTTGGAAGGGGCAGAGTTGGGGCGGGGCTGGGGGCAGGGAGGGGGGCACAAAAAAAGTGGGGGGTGGCCAAAAATTTTTTTGCTTGGGGCGGCAAAAATCCTGAATACAAATGAATATTCTGAGGCACAAACTCCTTGGATTATATAATCTGCAGCAAGGGTGACATTTCCCCTGTGCACAGGATGAGCACAAGGCCTGAGCACCGCTGAAATTCCAGGTAGGTCTTATTTCAAGGGCTTAAATGATACTTAAGTGGGGACTGATTAGGCCAGATGCTGGCTCTCTGCACGAGGGTGATATACTCACCCTGCCTCCCCCCAGCCTCCTTATGCCGCATAAAAAGGGGCAAGAGCAGCATACAAAGGTCCCATATCTGTCTGAGGAAGGGTTCCCCCCGCACGGGGACTGTGGAAGCCAGTCATCAGGCTGACTCTAGGATTCCCTCACAAGCAGGGGACAGGGCTGGGAGCGGAGGGGCAGGCTGGGGACAAGGCTGTAACATGCAGAGCTGTAGTCCTGAGGCCCATAATATAGACAAGCCACCCGGGGCCTCTCCAGTCCTCTCAACATCAGAAGGAAACAAAGGCCCCCCCCTAAAGCCAACTCTCCATCCGGGCTGTGAAACCCATACCTCTTAGAGGCTCACCACCGAATCTCACCCCAGGAGAGTAATCTAAGGGAGTCAAGTTAAATGAATCCATTTCATTTTTCTAGTGTGATTAGAAATAAACAACAACAAAGATTACGTGACACATCAAAGGGCAAATACCAAATGTAATGATGTGCTGAATTGTTAGAAACTTGTGAAAGAGAACTGGCACTATATAACAGAAAAGCCAGCATCGTTACGCTCCCTGGGAGCCATTTGCCGGTTAGAATCTTCCCCTTAAATCTAGTCTTGAGAGATGCTTACTGTTTAGAAAATCAGCTGCAACAGGATCTGTCATGAGCACATGTGGAGAAAGGAGCTTGTATACGTCACTCTGTTCCCGCTCAGGCAGAAAGTTTAATATATTTTGGTCCACCAAATCTGACTGATACAAAAGAATGCTTTGTCATGTTCAACAGTACAGCATTAACCCGTCCAGAGGCACAAACACTTGATCAATGGGTAGAACGGTGGGCAGACACAGTCATTTTAACAGGACAACTTAACACAAGGAAGTTACATTAGACAATGTTACATGGAAGACAGAGAGAGGAACTGTGATTCTCGTTCTCTGCGCTGTTCTAGGGGCACCACCCCTTCCTCAAGACAGATTGTAATAATTATAATAATAATACCTATTTCTTATATACTGCTATTCATGAGTTGATGGCAAAGCACTGCCCAATCGTTTAATGTATTTATCCTCCCAGCACCCCTAATGAGGGAAGTAAAGATACAATCTAAACCTAGATAAGCAGAAACATTAATCCTGTGTTTTCTTCTGTACAGGGAAAATTCATCTTACTCTCTGATTGTCTGACATAAATAGAAAGCATGCAGTGTTGTTGTAGCTGTGTCGGTCCCAGGATATTAGAGAGACAAGCTGGGTGAGGTAATATCTCTTATTGGACCAACTTCTGTTGGTGAGAGAGACACGCTTTCGAGCTGCATGGAGCTCTTCTTCAGGTCAGGGAAAGGTACTCAGAGTGTCACAGCTAAATACAAGGACGAGCAGATAGTTTAGCCTAAGTAGTTAGCACATATTCTGAGGGACCACTCAAGGTGAAGTGGCCATATCCTGACATGAGTCTGCACATGATACTCCCCACGGAAATAAATGGGGGGTTCTGTGTAAAAATCAGTGGTCCATATGGGAAAAAAATGAAGGTTTATCCACAGCATTACATCTGTAGTAAAATGAGGCTGGGCTAAACAACTATATGGGGAACCTTGTGCTCCTCCAGAGGAGAGACTTCCATGTAACTTAAGCACCCCTGGATCTGCCCATCATTCAGAGGATTAAAGCCAGGGAAGCCCCAATAAACCCCAACACTAGAGCTGCGTAAAAGCGTACCAAGGAGTAGGTTTGGAAGATGCTTACGCTAGAAATGGTGTAGCACCTCAGCATTCCATCACGCAACAGACACACTGAGTGGGCACAGCCCTCATAGACATTTCACATTCAGGTATCCAGTAACTCAAAGTTAACAGTGTTTGTCAGTGAATTTCTGAAGTCAAATCTCTTCAGATCGTAGCTCAGTGTCAACTCCAGAATCTACACAGGGCTTTTCTGTTTCTTGAATTAATCAAGGGGATTGTAATTTCTAGTGTTGACACTACAGACACATTTGTTCCAGGAAACAAGCATTTGTTGATAGTTTTGTAACAGCAACTAGAGCAGTGTGGAGAAAGGAAGTTCTGTTTCACGAAGGATTTCAAGATTTCAAAATTTGGCTTCATTCCAAATTGGAAAAAAATGTCATTTCAAAATTCTCCATGAAGGAAAATTCTTTAAAAAAAAATGGTTGCAGGTCGATTGAAATGTTTTGTTTCCATTTCAACTTGTAAATATATTTTATATAACATAATGCAACATAACAACAACATTTAAAAATAGAAACAAAAAGGACATTCAGAACCAAAACGTTTTGGTGCAAAACTGTTGAAACATCGTTTCAACATCATCAGAACGTTTTCCCCTGATACAAAATTCCAGTGAAATCAACCCGATTTCACAAAGCGTTTCGAGGTCGATGGAACTGCATAGTCCAATGGAATATGGTTTCACTGAAGCTTCCCTGACCTGCTGTACTAACAAGGCAACACATGTTTGTGCCCTGTCTACACTAGCATTTACAATCATATGGCAAAAAAAATCACAGGTAGACAGACTAGCCTATATACACATGCTTGGCACCAAAGAGTAGAACTAACTACACTTTTGAGGGAATAGAAACAACTCCTGGACCAGATTGTTGCTTACTAGTGTAACACATTCTTCCCAGAAACCTCAGGCCTCAGACACGTCTAATGCCCATGTGCTTTTGATCAAAAGTGAGGAGATTTAGCCCTCACACCATCTGTACATTGTTTGAAAATAGCATTATCAAGAGCACATTCCATGACCACAATATTTTCCAGACACTTGGTGGAATAAACAACACACATAAGTGGCCTCAGATGTACAGAAAGCTGTGGGTACATATCATTTTTTTTAAGCTAAGTCAGAGATCCTAATGCAAAATCTATTACTTAGGGATTTCACAGCAATTTGGGATATTCCCTAAGGGTTTGTTGGGTTCATAAGCCAAGGAAGGCATTGCATTCATCCAGTTAGTTCTCTCCTCCATGACCAGATACAATATGGCTAATATTGTGCATGACAAAGCACAGCTGAATGGATATTGACTACTGTGGGTGGATTGCAGCACATGATGGGTTTCTCAGTAAAAGTGAAGTCACACAGTGCTTCTCCATCTGAAGCATCTCACAGCCCAGCAGGCTCCATGTGGGGAATGCTGCAACTCCCAGTATGCAATGTGGCCGTGGCTATTAGTCAGGTATACAGTATTACTAGCCTGAACGGAAGATATGATTTGAGAAATGAGGGCAAATATCAGTCACACTGTATATCCTGCTCATGCACACTTGTGTTGGCTAAGCCACTTGGACACTGCAGAAAGCTATTTCTTGAACAGGGCCGAATTCTGATCCCACTGAAGTCAATGGAAATCTTGCTGTTGATTTCAATGGGGGAGGCAGAATTTGTTCCTCTATGACAATCTTAGGGTCAGACTGTGCATGGTAGGCACAAGGCCACCTGGACAATGTAACTGAGCTATATCACACAGCCCCTAGAAGGAGCTCTGTGAGGGCTCTCTGTACACAATCCCTGAGCTTGCTGGGGGAGTGTGCACACTACACCAGCTGGGGGTAGGATGACCAGGTGTCCCGATTTTATAGGGACAGTCCCGATTTTTGGGTCTTTTTCTTATATAGGCTCCTATTACCCCCCCACCCTCTGTTCCGATTTTTCACATTTGCTGTCTGGTCACCCTAGCTGGGGGATGTTGTTGTCGAGCCTCAGGCGTGTAACAATCTGGACATTCTAAATTAAAAATCAGACGTCTAAGCGTTATGTTGTTAGAACTTACCGGTAAATGTCCAAGAAGAGAGGAGACACTATCAGATACATAAATAATAATCCCGTCAGTGGTAAGTGCAATGAGAAATCCATCTAATGCCTAATGATAAAAGGCAGGAAGAAAAATAAGAATGTACCTGTACTTCAAATACAATATAGAGGTAATTTTTTTCAAAAGTGATACCTCTAACACTGCAACCAACATAAATCCATAGTGGTTCAGGATAGAAAGAATAAAAGTAATTACTAAACATGGTGCCTCATTCAGAGTCCTTCTAGCTAATTACTTTCTCATTAGCATTAATTTAACTTGCATTTTGCATCCACGGAATCTTGATTTAACATGAAGCAAGATATAGGATGTCAAATTCCTCATTCACCACCCATACAACCCTGCTGACTTCCGATTATATGTAGCAAGTTACGCAATCGTTAACCTACTGACTAACAGAGATGCCAAATACCATCATGGTGAGCACAGGATGGAAACGACAGACAGACAGATACAGATTTACCAATTTATAGCTAAAGCCAATGAGACTTAAAAAGTTATGTATTTTGCTTACACCTGTACACCCGATTACAGAAATGATTGTTTTTTACTTTAGTTTGGTTTCTCTTTTCTCATCTACAATGGCTGCCCCTACTTCTCCCTTGCTGGATGACTGTATCTCTGATGTATAAATAGCATGTGTAAGCTCTACTGAGTTAGCAGGGCCTCGAAGCATTTGAGCTTACATGATGGGGAACTCAGCATTGGCGCTGAAGTTCTCTTTCCCTTCATTCTGAGTCAGTGTGTTTCCTTCCTGTATTACTAGTCCAGGCCCCTATTCTTTTAGGACAGCTATCAAGGTCAGGAATGTTTTATCTCCAGTCAGCACAACAAACAAAGCAATCTCTTCCAATGCCAATGCTAATGATGCTCTGTAGTTTAGTTCACAGGCAGCAGAGATGGGTGGTGCAGGTATCCTCCATTCCCCCTTCCCCGATCACCTCTCCTCCTCACTCACTCTGCCCTGGCTCAAGCATGAAGAGCAACAGAGACTTGAAAATAAAAGTCCCAAACTGTCTCAGCACAGATTAGCTTTGTGACTAAAAAGCAAACCAGTACACGGTGTGATACAGCCACACAGAGTGAGAGCTATTACAAACTCCTCCCCCTGCCATCTCGCAGGCTGGTGTCTGTTTTGATTAAACCCGAATGAACTAACTTGTTTGGTGAGAGCAATTCCCGGAAAGAATGAACAGACTTTTCCAAGGAGGTCACTCGTGACATCCTGATGAAAAGGAATAACCAAGACACTGCAATGCCGCCCAGCATACACCCTTATTCTGGTGCAACTGGCTTCTCCCCCACACTGGATTTGCCACCTGTTCAAAGCCAGACCAGGTGGATCGTAACAGAAAGTTGTTTATCATCTGTAAACAATATACGGGGCATCATCTTATTATTCTGGGTTGTACAACAGGGACCTGCCCCAGGACGGAGGCTTCCAGACCATAACACAAACAATAACGGTAATAGTAATAATCTGATGGCAGTCAATGCTCTCCAGGAACGAGCTGTGTCGTCTCAGTACTTGCTAGTGGATGCAATGACCGAGAGATGAAAGGCACCGTACCTCTGAGCTCGCCACTCCCCCACCCTCAGAAATCTTTCATTTCTTCTTACCTCTAACATCAACTGGGTGAACTCCTCATTGCTAAGAAACGAAGGCTTCCAGTCTTGTCTAATCTCACCGGCCTCGGTCTGTGCTGTGATTTCTTAAAGAGAAAATACCAGAAAAGCAACAGGACCCACGTCAACTGGATTGTTTTTCATTTTTGAGGGAGCGCTAGATTTTTCACAAGGAATAATCTCCTCTTATATGGAAATCTCAGCTCCAGCAGCGTACGAATGTCATTGGGGAGATCAAGAAAAGGGGAAGACATAAAGGAGGCGGAAAAGGAGGTGTGAGAATAATTTTAAAAAGAAGATCGGGGCACAAATTCTGCGGTCAGTTAAGTCAGTGTAAATCAGAGTAATCCCCTCAGAGCCCACGGGGTTGCTCCAGATTCACAGTGGCGTCGTAGACAGCAATATTTGACCTCAAATCTGAAATTACCTACTAAGAGCCCACAGGAGGGGGAATTACTCAATTCATGGTGCTATATGCAACATAGGCGGCCACCTGGGGCATCCCTTAGCACTTGCATGGCCAGATGCCAGCTGTCCCTTGTTCATATGAGTGTTTGACATGCTCCATGAAGCTCCAAGCAACAGAATACGGAACTACCTTTCCCCTACGCTACCCAAGGCTCTTCTGCTGCCCTGGCCTGGTAGCCACTGGCCAACTCTGCTTTGTTTGGGGGCATGTCTTACACTGTGAAGGAGCCAGGAGACAGCCCTGAAGCAAGTCATCTGGTGCCCTCCCCTATTAACACAGGGAAGCAGGTTCAGGAAAAATGAGACTTGGGGGGTTGTGGGGAAGCAGGAGAATGAAAGAAAGGGGTGGGAGTCAGGAGAACGCAAACAGCAAAGGGGCCATGGGGAGGAAGAGATACGGGCGCAGAGACCTAGGTTGTGGGGAGAGACTGGGCAACAGATCACATAGCAAGGGCCAGGCCATCTGGGAAACGGGAGAGATGGACAACTGGGACACAGAATCTGGCAGAGCAGCGAGGGAGAGATGAGGAAGAGCAAAGAGGACTGAAGGCAGAGCAGAAGAGTTAACGGGATGGTGCAAGAGGGGAGCAAGGAATTAGATAATGTAGAGTGGGGAGCAAGGGATAGGGAGAGCAAACCAAGAGATGCAAGGGAATACGGAGGGTAGGGGTGGGACTAGAGCTCTGTAGTTAGACACACTGCTAGGCTCTGGCCTAGAGCTGCACATTACAACCACGCCCCTTTTCAAGTGCTTTGCGGTTTAACACTGTATCAGAGAATTCAACCTCCTCTGAAGGCCGACTCCGGCTATTACCTCTTGCTCTGCTCACCGCTCACACTGTTTTGCAGCTCAGTGTCCCTGTTCTCCCCGGAAATAAAGCGCTGGCCAGCTGCTTTCTGACTCCCTCAGCAATTCTCACACACCCTTTGGAGGGCCGTAAGCGCGGGCCGAGCACTATCCAATACCTTTCTGTTTCTGTAAGAAGTCAATGGTCCTCTGCAATATTGTGGACTTGTCCATCTTGAGAGGGTGGCCATGACCCTGCAGCATCGTGCAGAGCTCTTTGATGAGGACATTGAACTGATCTCGCCTTTTCTTTTCAGATTTGTTGCGTGATGCCCTGGTTGATCAAAACACAAACACCATTAAGGAAAGCAAGGGGTGATTGTCTCGATCCTGCAAGGTCCTGAGAGGCTCCGGCCCAGCAAAGCACGGCAGCACACGCTTAACTTAAAGTCCTATTGGCTTCAATGGGTCTACTCCTATGCTTAAAGCTAAGCATGCGCTTGAGAACTTTGCTGGATGGAGGCCAGAGTGCTCAGCATCTCACAGCAGAATCAAGCTCACAAAGAACAAGGAACGTCTGAAGGTTTGAAAAACCACTGATATTCTTTGGAGTGAATACGTTTATTTACTTAGGCAGGGTTTTGGTTGGTTGGTTTCAGGGCCCGCTACAGGCACTAGCCCAGCAAGCAGGTGCTTGGGGCGGCCAACGGAGAGGGGCGGCACATCCGGCTCTTCGGTGGCGGGTCCCTCAGTCCCTCTCGGAGCGAAGGACCAGCCGCCGAATTGCCGCCGAAGACTGAAGCAGCGCTGGTAGAGCAGATCGCGATCGCGGCTTTTTTTTTTTTTTTTGCTGCTTCGGGTGGCAAAACCCCTGGAGCTGGCCCTGGTTGGTTTTGAGTGGGGTTTTTTGAAAAGAGGTGGTCATTTGGTATACGCTCGAGCTGTGTGAATAGCAGGCTTTTTGGTTTGCTGCCAATTTAAAATAAATAGTTTAAATATTGCTTTGGGTTAAACCAAAACCAATTGTTTCAATTTTTCAGCAAATCGAAAAGTTGGAAAAAACGTAACATTTTTTGTGGTGACAAAATCAAAACGTTTCATTTCAATTTTGACCTTTTTAAAAATAAAAATAAATTGTTTTTTAAAATAAAATCAAAGAAAATTTTGAAAAGTCGTTTCAAACTGAAAAATTGAAATGTTTCACTTTCTCCAAATTTTGGGGGTATTTTTGACTGAAACAATTCCATGAAATTGACATGAATTTACAAAACATTTTGATGTCACCAATCTGTATTTTTCACTGACAAAAAACTTTCACGTGAAAAATGTCACTCAGTTCCAATATATGCATTATTTTCAAAGGGCTCTCCACCTGGCCTCTAATATTGCAGTCACGACTGTGTCTGCAGATCGTTTTCTGAGTAGTTTCTTCATGACTGGTTTTTTTGCATTATGTGTGCCAAAATGGGTGAGATACCTATTTCCTGGTTTCTGCATACCAGTATAACATGCATACACAAGTTTTGTGCCCAGAAAAACCTGGCTGTGAAAAAACTGCACAAAATTGAGGCCACGCAATAGTTTGAAAATCTGAACTGAGTAGAAACGTGATGCACAAAGAAACCACACACCAACTTCCAACCTGCCTTAATAATGGTTAAGAAGGTTTCAATAAAGATTTCCCCTTTGTTAAAATCCGTAGTAAAACAGGAAGCATACCCATGTGCATACCCATAAGGTTCCTTTCCATGCTAGTATCACAAATGACCCGACTTTGCAGCAGGCGGACACTGACAGCACTAGTTGCAATTAAAATCTTTGACAAGTTTATTCATGTCGCCAAGTGCTCCTGCTCGTGGGATCTGGAATGGGTATTTTATAGAAAGCCCATCTAGGTTCAGATTTGAAAGCAAACACCCCACACCAGATTTGGGGTATGTCTCAGACCCAGTGTTTTCATTCGGGCCCATTTGTATTTGGAGTGAAAGTCCAAAGACCAATTAGAAAGGTAATAGTTTTATTAAGAGAGATGAATTCTCACCCAGGATTAAGCTGGAACCTCCTCTAAACTTCAGAGAGAAATCATCCTCCAACAAGATACTAAACCCAACCAGTGAAAACCCCGACCAGGAGCACTGAATCATCACAACAAACAGTAAACTGGATGATCAATGATCCCGAGGGCAAGACAATATAACCTAGCAATCTCTGAAAGCTGATTAGCCTTTTCTTGGGCGTCAGCTGCACCACTGGGTGATGAAAAAGGCTGCGTATTTGTCCCTGCGCCAACTCTGACATATAAAGAATGCAATCTTGCTCCAGTGAACTCAATGGGATTTTTGCCTTTGAAACCCACAGTAGCCGACTGGGGCCCCAGAAAGCATTCCAATCACAATGCAAGCAAATCTTGTTACATTGCCAAATACGAGAGGGATTTAACGCACACCCCTTCCAGTGCTCTGTACGTGCATCCATACCTCTTTGCCCTGTCCTTCTCATCTTCATCCATCAGCTCGTTTACACAACACAGGGTTCTGGAAGGAAAAAGCAGCATTTACCTCCTTTAACACCCAGGAAACATTGTCCAATTACACTGATGCTGACAAGTCAGAAGCCTTGACTCTAATGCCCAAAACAATTAAAATCCAGGATATTCATTTAGTTTCTATCTTCCCTTTCCCCACCCTCCCCTACTTTATGGTGCTTTTCTTTTTACACTGTATATTCAGCATTTAGAAGCGATGTTTGGATATCAACTCAAAATATACAGTAATACTTTTGTGCAATGGAAAAATGATAAAACACGCTATAGGGCAAATTCTGCCCAGCGACTTGCATGTTTATCTGAGTGCAAGGTGCCTGGGGGCAAATCAATAAACTTATATTTTGCAAACTTAAAAAAGGAGAGCCAGTTTCAGCATAGGGTCCTTGCCAGTCCGTGCTAGCACAAGTTCCTGTTGCTGGTAAATCCACCAGGACGGAACTGCAGTGGTGGAAACCTCCCTTGCAGAGGAAGGATGGGAGAGCGGAATATGGAGCCAGTGTTGTCCAGGAAGGAAGCGGCATTAGGCAACACTAGGACATGATGAAGCTTGCCAAAGGATTCAAAGGCCATTGAGTAAATGCAAACACTTGCACTGATTTGGATCAGGCTCCTCGTGTATCACCTCAGCAGCCTCCTGGGGTGCAGGGAAGTGAAACTGGTACCTCTCTGCACTAGCTGAGGTGAATCTGGGCCGCAGCCTTTATTTTATTCAAAGTTCTTTCACTGCACAGGTAAGGGCAACAGTGAAGAGCAACTCCCCTCAAGAGCACTCTGCTCTTGAGTCCGATAAAGTGATGGAAAATTTAACACAACAAGGGCAACTTCTTAACTGGCAATTTGCTTTCTGTGACTCAGATTGGCCAATCCGGATCCAGTCACGTTCCAGATCTGTCAAACGGGCAGAGGCAGACAATCCAGCCACAATCATTCCACACCCTTAATCTCCCAGAGCCTGCCTTGCCAGGTCACAGCCCGCCTAAGAGAGCTCCAAAACCAGTCCCCAAATTGACTGGAATCTATGCCTGTCATTAACTTTAGCAGCCAATCAGAGTCCACGGTGCTAACGAGCACTTTCACTGGCAAGCCCCTGGCAACACACCCAGTGCCCCAGGAACAATCTTGATTGGACAGATCCAAATATTTTCCCCTGCTGCTGCATGCCAGCTCCAACCCCAAATGACTTAATAGCTATAAAAGTTGCACGAAATAGAGCTGCCCACAGCTGACAGGAAAAGCGCACGACTGGCTTTTCAAAAGATGATGCCTAAATTAAAGGCAAACCAGAGGTTTTCCAACTCTGCTTAGCCTCCTCTCTCCTGACCCCTCACCTCAAGGGGCAAACTGGGCAAAGGAAATGAACTGAAGGATTCCTTTCTTCCCAAAAGGTGAGGGCGCATCAAAGGAAGGGCAGGGTTCCAGATCAGATAGTGCACCTGAGCGCACATAACCGAATCAGAAATTACCTGCTAGATTCATCAGTGCAGACTGACAGGGGAAGATAAGCACTTCTTATCACCGTGTAAATAGAGATGGCAAAATTAATCCTTACAGGGAGAACAAATTTTAATTAACCCACAACTGTACTCAGACTAGCAAGCAACAGCTACGAAAAGCTGAAAACACTCTATTACACTTCCTTAAGAATATGCTCCTTGTTAACCTGTCAAAGCTCAGCAAAGCCTCAAAGAGCTAAAGATTTTGGGCCATGTTCTGGGCTGATTTATACCACATGCAACTCGCCTAAGCCCAGTTACCCAGAGTGGAAGGCAGTGCAGAACTTAGCCTGTTTGTTCCATACAACCTCATGGGCTTCTTGGGCTCATGAAACACTCATTTTGGGCTATTTAGAGACATTCCATGGGCGCCAAAGGGCTTTGAAGGGAAGGGAAGCACTGCAGAGTTTAGCACCATATTACAATATACTTTTATCTTTACATCCAATACATTTTCAGCTACATCTCCTCTTGCAATAGCATTTCTTGGATTTGGACACCACCGATCTTCCCTTTGCCCGCTATTTTTCATGGAATTACACTTGTATTAGCGTACGTACACACACGCACACACGCTTTAAGTTTTTAATTCGTGCATTTTCTCGGTGTTTCCTGGTTGTGTAATGGTATTACTATGCCATTTTCTTTCAACCATTAACTTATATGCAATTGTAACCCACATACCTCCTGGGTGTGGTGCTCTGCCCCATGTAGTGGCACTGAGACCACTGAGAGAGAGATTGATGAGTCTGCTCTACAGCCATAGCTAACAGTCAGTTGGCTTTTAGCTCAAGCAGAAGAGGATCCCGCACAGAGGTCTCAGGTTCAATCCCGCCTGTCGACGACTAGGATCTGGTGGCGTTACAAGTGCCCACTT